AGGCAGGAAGCCGGAGCTCACGCTTGTCTGGGAGCCCGAGGACACCGAGCAGGAGCCCGCACGGCAGGTCAGAACCCCATTGTGTCCCTGTCCCCCACGTCTCCGTAAGGCCCTCCTGCGGTGTGGCCCTGTCCTCATCTGTCCTGCCTGGTCTCACCCAACACTGCAGCCCCTGGGGTGCGGTTTCAGGCCCCCAACAGCGGCCCAGACACCTCCCGCAGGCCCTGCCCTCTGGTACTTGCCTGCTCTCCTTGCGAGCGCTCACTATGCACTAGGCACAACACACGTGTCTTCTGGCTCTGTAGCTCTCCCCAGACCCTATGGTGTTAGTACTGGAGCGGCTCTGGTTTACAGATGGGCCAACAGGCTAAGGGAGGCGGAGACACTGGGCCTCGGTGGCCCGGCTGGACAGACAGTGGCCAAACTGGGCTCTGACCGCAGGCCCCTGCTCCTCCCACCTCCTCACGGCCGGGCTCTCCCACAGGTCATCACCATCTTCAGCCTGGTGCAGGTGGTCCTGCAGGCTGACGCTACAGCCCTCAAGTACAGCGCTGTCCTGAAGCCGCCCGGCCCCGAGGGCTTCCCCGGCCTGGAGGAGGAGGCAGTAGATGACAAGCAAAAGGACTGAGGCACTAGGACCCCAGCTCCCCCCAACTCTCCAACCCCCAGCCCGGCCATCCCTCAGCCCCACTCACTCTCCCGCCCTACCCCTCTGGCTGTGAGGAATAGGACTTTTTGACACCAAAGGGGATTTTTAATTTGATTTTTAACAACTCAGGGGTTTGTTTTTATCCTTATTTTTACATTTTATTTTATTCTTGCAGCTCAGTTTTTAAATGAACTGGAGGGGACAGGGAGGGTCTGGAGGAAGGCTGAGGCCTGGACAGGGCTTTTCCCCAGTCCTCCTGGGAGCCCAGCCCCCGCTGCCAGGCCACCCACTGCCTATGCCTGCCCAGGAAATGTGAGAGTTTCATCAAATCAGTGTCATGGAATAAAACCAAGTATGAAGTGCTATTCGGTGTGTGGATGCCACTGGGAGGCCTGGGAAGCAGGGCGTCCCTTGCACTCAGGCAAGGGATCGGATCAGACTCTACCTCTCACAGTTGAGCTGAGCTGGGGTCACCAGCCCCCAGTACCTTCCTGTCAGTTCCAGGATGATTCACAGAGCTGCCGCCTGACAGATGGACCCTGGAGCCTCATTCTCGCTGATTAAAAACGTAATTAGAATGCACGATGGTGAGCTCTCTGCCACCATGCTGCATGTGGCCGTGTGCTGTGTCCCTCTCTGCCCCCACCCTTCGTCTGTGCCACTGGGACCACGTTGCCTGGGGGGCATGGGTCCTGTGACACCCCCAGCCGCCAGTTCCTAGGCCAGAGCTCTGAGTGGCCCTGTCTATACCCCTAGATGTGCGTCGGTGCCTCGCCTCAGAACCCTTAATCCCAATCTTGTGCCCTGGCAGCATACATGGGGCATGGGGACAGTGGGGCCAGGGCCTATCAGAGGGGAGGAGGCCCTCAAACAGGCCTTCTCAAGCAGAGAGAGAAAACAGGCTCCTGGTGATGCAGCCTGGCCTGGTCACCTCCCACAGTCCTGAG